ACTGAACACATAAAATGATCATGAAACCTGAAATACCAACAACGTCTTGGGTGATGCCAGGAAAATACTTGAATGGGGAGGGCAGTGCTCAGAAGAGTTCTATAATAAAATAGAAATGGTTTATATAGGATCTTGCTGCCTGGGGAATGCAAGGAGGAGATGCTAATGAGAAGGGAGACTCTTTGCCCCTAGGATGACTCTGGAACTGTATGAGGAGAAGCTGGATTCTGTTGTCACTTGGATGGTGACCTATAAACAGCTCTTAACTGAGAGCTCCTGGGTATGTGGATGACAGCGCCCTATTGAAAAAAAAAAAGGATGTCATTCTGATCAAAGATGATGGAAACAATTCAGCTTGCTGGGCTGAAGAACTGCATGCTGAAGAGCTGATCATTGGTAAAATTCACTGTGTTTGGGATTTTCCTGATTCATGAACAATGGCCAATGGCCCAGTCATACACTTAGGCAGGAGGGCAATAGAAATGGGGCCTATCAAAGGGATGTTTGTACAGGCTACCATCTTCTGGAAATCTGAGGGGCACATTAAAGTAGGATGTGTCGGTACCCATCAGAAGAACTTAGGGTTGAAGGAGATTAGAATCGACAATAAGATACCCCTGTGTGCTCACTTAAGGTGGCCACCTGGGTCTGTGAAATGACAGGCTATGAAGGCACTGCAGCAGCACAGAGATGAGCTGAATCTAGACATGTTCCTTTTGAACCCTTTCTGGCAAATAAAACCAGTAAGAACTGTTCTGTCCGTCAGCAAGAGCGACCAAGACAGCAGATGGCTATGGGGCAGCTTCCCTGGTGGGAAGGCTCTGAGCATAGATGGTAAGTGCGACTTACGCTGGTAGCTCTGGGAGCTACAAATGGGTCTTGACAGGAATGGACACTGGCTTTGGACTATGGTTTGCTTACCCAGTAAAAGATGCAAATGCTCAGAGTGCTCTAAAAATATCAGAGCAGAAGATACTGACTCTTTCCCAAGTGTGTTCCTTCCTTGGCATCCTCCTTGAGTTCTTCCAAGTTATCTTTTGCCCCTTTGAAGATTATGATTTGATAAGGTTAATAATTCCTTATATTAAAGTTTCTATGTTCATTTTTTTTTTTTTTTTGAGACAGAGCCTCAAGCTGTCCCCCTGGGTAGAGTGCCATGGCATTACAGCTCACAGCAACCTCCAACTCCTGGGCTCAAGCGAGTCTCCTGCCTCCGCCTCCCAAGTAGCTGGGACCACAGGCGCCCGCCACAACGCCTGGCTATTTTTTGGTTGCAGCCGTCATTGTTGTTTGGCGGGTCCGGGCTGGGGATTCGAACCCGCCACCTTAGGTGTACGTGGCTGGCGCCTTAGCCGGTTGAGCTATAGGCGCCGAGCCTCTATGTTCATTTTTTAATTTAAAATTTTTTTTGAGACAGAGTCTCACTCTGTCACCCTGGGCAGAGTGCCATGTCGTCATAGCTCACAGCAACCTCCAGCTCTTGGGTTCAGGTGATCCTCTTGCATCAGCCTCCTGAGTAGCTAGGACTATAGGTACCTGCCACAGTGCCTGGCTAGTTTTTTTATTTTTAGTAGAGATGGGGTGTCACTCTTGCTCAGGCTGGTCTGGAACTCCTGAGCTCAGGTAATCCATCCATCTTAGCCTCCCAGAGTGTTGGGATTACAGGCATGAGCCACTGAGCCCAGCCAACTTTCCATGTTTAAATCAGGAAAAGAAATACTTGACAGGGAGAGTTGCTTAATGCTTTGTGCCTCAGTTTCTTCCATATGGTTCACTGCCAGGCTGCCTCTTGGACATCTACCTCTCTCTCCATCTATTCCACTTTCCCATGGTTGCTATAGCAAATTAGCACAAATTTTATAGTTTCAAACAACAAAAATCAAGGTGTCAACAGCCTCCCTTCTTCTGGGAAGAACCAATTCCTTGCCTCTTTCAGCTTCCAGTGGCTGCCAGCTTCTGGCTGAATCACTCCAGACTCTGCCTCTGCTTTCATATGGCCTCTCTTCTGTCTGTGCTCACCTCTGCCTCTGCCTCTCTCTTGTGTGATTGCATTCAGGGCTCTGCCAGATAAACCACAACAATCTCTTCCATCACACCTACAAGAACCCTATTTCCTTATAAGGTAACATCCACAGGTTCCAGGGACTGGGACTGCTCTCTTTGGGAGCTATTATTCAGTTCACCATAGCATCCCTCCACTATCCCCCTTGTCTAGGAGGCTGCTGATCTCTGCTGACCACATCAACCAGCTCTTTGAGCTTTCACCTTCAGGAAGGGTTTGGCCAAAGGGAGACACAGGCAGCGTGTGGGAGGGTAGGTGGAGACTCCTCTTCTCCCTGCCTTCTGCCTACTGTGTTAGACTCAATGCCTATTGGACAGCATCCTCTCTGTGGTCTGGCTAATGCCTCAGCCACACCATTTCTCCACTCATTCCTCCAGGACACATGATCTGGCAGGATCCCTTTCCTCCTGCTGCTGGGAGCCTTCCCATCCCTGTGTCCCTAACCCTGCTCACACTACTGTACATGAACAGTCTGCTCAAGAGCTCCCACTGGAGGGCCTTCCTCTTTCCAGCCAGGACCCAGCTGACATAAGGCCACTGCTCGCTTAGCTCTTGTGAGACTGTTCACCAAGTGCATCCCTCTGTGCGAGGGGCTTTACAGGGCACAAGCCACGGCCTGAAGCCCACCTTCCAAGCAAAGACAAAGCTTAGAAGGCTTGAGGGTGTATCATTCATGCAAAACCTCTCCAAAAATAATCCAAACCAAAACCTGAAAGTTGCAAAATAAAAATAGGAGGTGCTGGAAGTGGTCTCACACTTTGTGTTAGTGGGTTTTCCATGGGCCTGTGTCTTGGTCCCATGAGAACCACAGCCTCCTTCCAGAGGCTCTTTTAGCTCTCACTGTCCCAGATCTTTGCTCACCTGTACCCTGTGCCTGGACCTTGTACGTCTCACCTTCTTCATGGCCACCTGGGTGAGCAAGGATGCTTGCTGTTTTCTGTACCTGCCCCAGCCCCAGCACCCTGGTGCCCTCCTAATTGCAGCTCAAATTGTCTAACTGCTCCCCCATGGACTCTGAGCACCCTGAGAGCAGTGACCACATCTGTCTCACTCAGCAGTATGTCCTCAGGGCCTGGTACATGGCAGACATTTACTGTATTTTTGAAAGCATAAATGAGTCCCTGTCCTATCCCTTTTTCAAAGACTTCCCTCTGCAACCATCTGTTTCCTAGGACAAGGTTGGTTATGGTTACCCACATTGGGGTGTGCTTTGCTTTTCTGTGTCATGCTGGGTGCTGTAACAGTAGCTGAAGACATTCACCCATCAAGCTGGAGGGGATGCAGGGTGGGGCATGGAGGAGGCTCCCTAACCTGAGTTGGATCATTTTTTTCCACTAGATGAGGATAATTATGGTACCTATCTTACTGGTCTCACAGTGGTGGGGTTCAAATACTGTACTGTGCTGCTATGTGTGTCAGTGTGGCTAAGCTGGAGTCCCCAGCTGTTCAATCTAATGCTGAGAGATGTGTTGCCTTGAAGGTATTATGTAGATGTGACTGACATCGTTAATCATTTGACTTTGTTGTTCATATTTAAGGTGTACAACGCGATGTTTTGCTGCACATATACACAATGAAATGATTACTGCAGTTGAGCAAATTAACATTTCCATTGCCTCACACGGTTACCTTTGTTGTTGTTGTTCTAATCAGTTGACTTTATGTGAAGGAGATTATAGCAATAAGGTAGGCGGGTCTGACTCAGTGGTTGAAAGGCTTCAGGGGCAGAACGGAGCTTTCCTGGGAGAAAGAAAAATCCTGCTTCTGCTGCTGCCTGGGAGTTCCAGCCTCCCCTCTTGTCTGCCTGCCAGACCTGCTGCCCCAGTCCATGTGGACTTCTATGACAAAATGCCATTGACTGGATGGCATATAAGTAATATTTATTTTTCACAGTTCTGGAGGCTGGGACCCGATCAGAGCACTAACAGATTCCACTGAAGCTTCTACCATTATGAGCTAATCCACTTCCCATCTCCGAGTACCACCACATGGGGGTTAAGTTTCAACACACAAATTTGGGGAGGGCACAGCACTCAGCCACAGCACCTGCCTAGCGAGCACTCACTGTCACATAAACCATCCAGTGACTCTACTGGGGTGGGACAGCTGGAAGCTCACACCTAGTCTCTACCCTGGGAACTCTGTCCCTTTGCTGATATTAGTCTGTATCCTTTTGCTGCAATAAAATATAACTGTGAGGATGACAGCTTTGCTGAGCTCTGCGAGTCCTTCTAGAGAATCGTTGAACCTGAGGATGACCTCGAGGACCATGTACACAACAGTTACCAGTGTCTGCTCAGAGGGGTGCTACAGGCTCCTCCAGGCCTTCTGTGGGGGTTTTCCCTAGGAGCATCTCTACCCTTCACGTTTGATTCTCTACCCTATAAAGACAGGTGAAGTGGCTCACTCACAGTTGCATAGCCTTGTGCCTTTCCTTTGACTCTTAGGAACCATTCTAGCCCCTTGAAACCACTTTTTGGGGGGTTGATTTCACTTCCCAGCCTCATGGTTATTTGTGGAGCTGCTGCCAGCTTCCAGCCATGGGGGCACCACGTTTTCACAGAAGTCAGCCTCCTTCTCTCTCTCCACAATGCTCTGACTCTGGGTATCAGGATTCTGAAGTCAAACTCAGGGACATTGCCACCCTGTGTGCATCTTTCAGCCAGAAGGAGAAATCAGCTGCTGAGTACCTGCTCCTCCCTTGTCCTCTTTGGGGTGGGATGGGTGACAGTGGAGGCCTGTTTGTGGCACCTCGCCTGCCCTCAGCCCCAGAAATGCTGTCCACGTTGCCCTGGCTGGAGTGCCCTGAGTGCCCCTCCATGCGTCCCTTCTGCCATAGATTCTGGGGCTCCCTGCTCCTGGTCTGCCATCACCCTGCCTGCAAGTCTGCCCTGCTCAGATGGCAACACCAGCCCCCCAGGTGGCATCAAGCCCTCACTCCTCACCACCAGGAACACCACCATGGGACTCCCTGTGGGCAAGACCTGGGTCTGACTCCTCTCCATGTTCCCAGCTCAGGGCCTGGCACATGGAGGCCTCTAGGGATGTTTGCGCCCACATAAGTGAATACCAGACCATTCTCTACATTCATTCTCCCAAACCCAAGCTTCTTCCCAGAATCCCAGGGATTCTGGATGCCCTTAGCCAGGTGTCCATGCTCTGAATAACCACATCAGCTTTGGCAGAAGGGAGGTTGAGGAAGGCGGGATCCTCTCCACATCTAGACTTCTGAGATAATCAGGTATGCAAATGAGAGATCAGTCATGGCTTTTCTTTGACCCACCTTGCTTTTTAAAAACATATTCTCAATTACTAATTCATTTTGTGAAATGAGAAATTTTACACTGAAATTGGGATCTCTGGATTCTCCTGAAAAGCAAAAAAAAAAAAAAAAAAAAAAGTGGCCCTGCGTTGCCAGTCGACAGGGTGGAGAGGGAGTGTGGAGGGGACCGGGGAGTTCCCTGCTGTCGGCCACCCCTTCAGGAAGATGCTTGCTCTCAGGATGGACTTGCCCCCACCAGGCCAGCTTTGCTCATGCAGTCCCTTGCCTGGCTGCTGTGGGCTTCTGAGTTTGCAGCCTCCACACCAGGGTCTTTTAATGTCTGGAGCAAGTTTCCAGGTGCAGATGGCTGCTGCAGGGCCAAGGGTCCTGGGATGCAGGAGCCCTGAGCAGCTTGCAGTCTTGCTGTGTTGCCTGAGATATGTTGAACCTCAGTTTCCCTGTATTAAATGTGGTATGCAGAGTGTGGGGCCTCATGATCCTGATGTCCCCAAAGAGGTGCCATTGGGGGTTCTTTAATGTGTCAGTCACTTTCTGCTTACAGGTTTCTTTTTTTTTTTTGAGACAGAGCCTCAAGCTGTCCCCCCTGGGTAGAGTGCCTTAATGTCACAGCTCACAGCAACCTCCAACTCCTGGGCTCAAGTGAGTCTCCTGCCTCTGCCTCCCAAGAAGCTGGGACCACAGGAGCCCGCCACAATGCCCAGCTATTTTTTGGTTGCAGCCATCATTGTTTGCAGGCCTGAGCTGGATTCGAACCCGCCAGCTCAGGTGTATGTGGCTGGCGCCTTACCTGCTTGAGCCACAGGCGCCCAGCCTGCTTACAGGTTTCATGTTCTTTCTCTGTAGAATGCAGGGTGAGGCCAGCCTTGAGCTGTGGTTCCTAGGGGTTCACCATGGCCTGTGCAGCCCCTGTAATAGCAGCAGCCCATATCTTGGCATGTCTGGTCTCTGCTCCTGCATGTAGGCATGCCCTTGGGAGTAGGTGTCAGGCATATTCCCTGCAAGGGCTAATGTGAGGCCTGGCAACTAGGAAGCCCCAGGGCATGTTTGCTGAGTGGCAGGGTGGGAGTCAGGAAGCAGGCCTCTGGGTCTGGTGTCTGAGGTGGGGTCACTGCTGGCAATCTGCCACTTGGAACAGCTCCACAGGGCCAGGGGCTCCATGAGGGGGTGGTGATCCATCTCAAAGTGGTCGTCTCTTCACTCTTCTTTCTCTCTCAGGATCCCTAGACTGTGGAGAACCAGACTCTACTGTCCCTTTGTCTTGAGTGGGCCCATTCTCCTCTCTGGACTCCCCCTCCCCATGTAGGATCCAACCAGCCCCTTTAAGCCTCTGTTATGGGTTAAACTGCGTCCCCTCCAACCCCCCATTCATATGTTGACGTCCTAAGCCCCAGAACCTCAGACTATGACTATATTTAGAGATGGAGGTCTTTACACAGGGAATTACCGTTACATGAGGCCCCACAGGTAGACCATGATTGATATGGCTGGTGGTCCTACAAGAAGAGTTTAGGACATAGAAGGAAGACCACAGGAAGATACTGGGATGAGAAGACGCCATCCACAGGCCAAGGAGAGAGGCTTCAGAAGGAATCCACCCTCCCTATATTCCAAGCTTGGCCTTCCAGCCTCCAGAACTGGGAGACGGTCAGCATCTGCTGTTTTAGCTGCCCAGCCTGTAGCACCTGCTGTGTCTGTTCTGGCCTCAGCTGAGACCCTGCAGGGACTGCCCCACCAGCAGCACAGTGCTGCCTGCTCCAAGAGGACAGCATCTTGAAGACTGAGCAATCCCTAATGGGCCCCCAGTTAAGTCTCAGCCCTGCTTCTCCATGCCCAGCCACACCTCAGAAACAGCAGGAGAGCTTGTTGCAGTGAGGACCATTTGAGCTGTCGCTAGAAGTTCAGGGTACATAGGACAGGAGTGCATATGGTGGGGGCACCTGTGAATTTCTGCTGAATGAGCAGTCCCTGGGGTTTTGCTAGGCAGTGGGTGGGTCTGGACTGCAGCCCTGGGGCTTGACTGGCCCCAGATTTACCTCCAGCTCCAGCCTGTGTGGCTTCATCTTTAGACTCCTTTGGTGTTTCTGGCTCCTCCAGCAGCTTTGCTTTTTTGAGGCTCAGGGCCTCTTTGGTCTTGGAAATGTGATTTTCCTTCCACCATTTAAGTATCTTCATTCTAGGGCAAGGAGCCTTGTGGTGAACACTGTGCTTAGTCCATGTCTCACACCCCCTACCAGGCCCCTGAAAGAGCTTTGGGCTGGTGACTAGAAGACTGGGCTCCCCCAACCTGCTGGTTCTGTGACCAGCACACCCCACCCATCCCATCAAATGGCGTATGAATCTCTGCTCGCTTGGCTTGACCAGTCTCCCCAGCCTCTTTCTCAGCCTCTCACCCTCCAGTCTGTCCCCACCAGGCCCCAGAGCTTGGCCTTCCTTTACCCTGCTCACAGCCCCCCATGGCTCTCCAGTGTCCCAGGACAGAGTCCCAGCCTCTCAGCCCTGTGGCCCTTCATGACTATGCCCTTCCTCTGCTTCTTTTGCAACCCTGTACTGTCTCAAAGTATACAAGGTCAGACAATTAATTTCCTCAAGCTCATCCTTAAAAAAGTACTATATACCTCATTGTTGAATATCACTACAATCACCTTTGAAGTACCCTCCTTGGGAAGCCTTGCACTGATGTCAGTAGTCCACCCTACAAAGCAATTTTGGAACTCTTTTCCTGGTATGGTCATCAGAGGTGGTGTGTCTGAGGTCTAACAATTAAGTTTGTGACCTCATCCCAGAAAAAGTGCTTCAAAGGGTGGACTAGACACTGGCATTGATGTGTAGCTTCCCGAGGTGAGTACTTTGAAAGGTGATCACAGTGATACTCAGCAATGAAGTATGTAACTTTTTCTAGGACAAGTTTGCAAACTTAACTGTCCAACCTCGTACACTGTTTGCTATTGGACAGGTCCTTTTTTGCCAAATTTCTTCTTTCTCCTACTCTTTCTGGTATATGTCTGCGTGTCAGTACATGGAGTGCTGCCTTGGTCTTTTTGACAGCTGTGTAGTTCTCTCGTGTGGACAATCATGGGCTATAAAGCCCAAAATCTGCCATGGGATTGTGAGAATAAGGGTTCACTAGTTGCTTTAGACCAGTGGTTCTCAACCTTCCTAATGCTGTGGCCCTTTAATACAGTTCCTGTGGGTCTCAACCCACAGGTTGAGAACCGCTGCACAGTGTCCTTTCAGTGGCCTGGTGCTGGAGAGCAGGTGGGAGAGTATAAGAGTGATGAGAATCAGCAAGTGGGTGTCATGTACTTTTTTCTCTCAAGAAAAGATTGGATGGTACCTAAAAAAACCTATGGGCTGAGCTAGGAGAGATTTGTGCATGTTTATAGCCTTCAGAGAAGGAGCCAGCAAAGAAAGAATAATTGAAAATTTAGGAGACATAAGGGATGAGTAATGAGTCCCTAAGGAGGTGTAGGAGATGTGTTCCCAAGCACCGGAGGTAGGGCTAACCTTGGACAGGAAGGGGGACACCTCGTTCTTTAAAAAAAGCAAGGGATATATCATTACTGCGAAAGAGAATAATTTTGTAGTTGTTGGGGGTTTGCTTCTTTCCTGCAACTGTGTAGTCCCTTGTGGGCAAACATTATTACTGAAAGTGAGAGGGGAGGAGATATGGGATTTGGAGGAAAGAGGAAAACACTGGGCACACTGACAGAGCATGGTGTAGGAGAAGGTGACTTGGGCAGGACAAGGTGAAGGATTTGTAGGCAGTACTGATGCTCTATCTCCAGCCCCAAGGATGGAGATACTGAGAGAGTGGGGTTCCCCTTAGTAGCTCCCGGTACAGACTGTCAACCTAGTGCTTATTTACTTTTCTATCTTTCTGGAAAATATAGGACACAGGGTAAGAAGGAGAAAAGAGAGAACGAAGTTTGACAAACATTAAATGAGAGTCCTATAATGAAAGAGAAGGGCAGAGGCAATATATGAACAAACAATGGTTGAGAATTTTTCCAGAACTGATAAAAGACACCAAAGCATGGATTGAAGAGGCCAATTAAATATAATTACTAGAAAATAAAGAAAGATATTTGCACTTAGTCCCATCAGAGTAAAATTGCTAATGGTAATACCAATACCCAAAGCTCAGGAGGCCCATGGAAGCCTCAAAAAGGCACCTAGCCTGGGAGAGAAGTCAGGAAGCTTTCCTGGCTCACATGATGGAAGGGTTGCAAGCTGAGCCCCAGGTGAGGCATGAACATCAGCCAGGTGAGAGGGAAATAGAGATGGAAGATGGGGTGCAGAGGAAGAAGGGCACTGGCGGGAGCCACAAGGTCAGCAAAGATGCAGATGCATCTGTCAGAAACTCACAGGCAAGGTGCTGTTATGACGTCTTAAAATGTGAGGCAGGAGCAGAGGAAATGAAAAAATGAGACAGGACCCAGAAATGCTGGAGGCACAGAGATCTTACAGGCAGAGATAGGGACAGATTCTTTTCTTTTCTTTTTTTTTTTTTTTTGAGACAGAGCCTCAAGCTGTCCTCCTG